GAGTGCACCGCCACGGACCTTACCAAGGCCAACATCGTCCTCGACACCATGGTGACCATGTTCAGTGAGGTAAGCAACGTGTGATTTTACGCTCTGTCTTGATGTTCCTCATAGGACTTTTTTTTTGTGTGTGCGAGACGTACGTGGGTAAGGGTTCAGTGAGGCAAGTCACCCAAAACACCAGCGCTCCGTCTTGCGTGTTCCTCTCGGGAGTTTGTCTTTTGTTTGTGCGAGACGCACATGCATAACGGTTCAGTGAGGCAAGTCACCTACGGTATATGCGCTTCGTCTTGCGTATGTTCCTCATAGTTTTTTTTTGGCGTGTTGTGAGACGCACGAGAGTAAGCTTCACGGGGGCCTTACACGTGGATCCCTCTGCGTGATGTTTGTAGACCCTCGCATGCGTTTGGGATGGACAGCACCATGTCGGGGGCAGATTGTCTTCAGTTATCTTGTTGCGTAGGGACTCTGGAGAGCAAATGATAAACAGGCGATTGTAAGGATGAGGAGGAATTGAAAGTATTCTGAGCTGTTTCGCGTACGAACACCGATCGCTGCACGCAGCCCGTTAAAAAACAAACCGTACAATACTCTCATCGTGTGATTGCCTGTTTTTGGCCGAACTAACATTTTTTTTCGTGCGTTGTTCCAAATTTCGCAGTACTGCGGCGACAAGTTTTCGGTGGAGCCTGTGGACGTTGCGTACGACGACGAGAGCGGCGAGGTGAAGACGACGCCCCTCCTTTCCACCCGGACCGAAAAGGCCTCGGTCGCGGAGATTTGCTCCATCATCGGCATCGAGGTGAGAGTCTTCTTCCACCGCCATTTAGCTGTTTGTTCCCGGTGGGTATGTCACTGTAACAAGTTTCTGTATGCGCAGCAGTGGGCGTGATCGGCCGCGTGCTTGTGGAGGGTGGGCGCGCGCGCTTACGGTTCGCGGTTGGTTTGGCGAGGCTGCCCGCCCCTCCCGCTCCCCCCCCGCGAAACAAGCCGGAGTATCACGGGTCGGCAACCTCGAGTCTGGGAAATAGTGTAGTTGGCGGCAGAAAAGCGGCGCGTGATGATGAGAAGTCGTGTACCAAGGCGGCGCACGACGGCGAAACCAGCACGCCAGCCAGGTCAACGCAAAATCCACCGAACTCCGGCAGCGACCTATTTACCTTTACTACGACCTTTAACAAACGGCGGCACGTGCTGTAGACGTGACCCGACTTCACTAACTCCACCATCGCGGTAACGTCCGCTCGCTTGTCAGATCGAGGAAGAGGAGATCTGTCGGCTTTGCACCAAGATGCAGCTGGGGCCAGCGGAAGTAGTGGAGATGGGAGGGGGAGAGGGAGGGAAGGGGATCAAGGTCACGGTGCCGCCGACTCGCAGCGACATCTTGCACCCGGTCGATGTCGTAGAGGACGTGGCCATCGCCTACGGCTTCAACAAGTGAGGCAGGCTTTCGCTTTCGTGTGACGGGGCTCCCCTTTTTTTTTTTCGAGCGCGTGGGTAAAAGGGCCACGACGTCTTGATGTCTTCCCGTTTACAAGATCTTGTGCTCGCTGCTGTGCATGCAGAGTATTCTCTTTGAGTTAACCTTTTTTTTGTGTTTAAGAATATGGGTCGATTGAAGCTGCGTGCAAGCACAATAAACCGACAAGCCGGAATCGAACCGTTTTTTTTATGTCTCCCGCTGAGCGTCATAAAAATTGAGCGGAAGCATTTCTGTACAAGGACATCGAGGTCTGGCGGCTGCTGAAACGACGACCATGCCGGCCGACACACAGCAGTCACAACCAAGCGCGTCAGGCTCCCACTGGGGACTTGCTTTTCTAACCTTCGGTTCGTGCTGCCGATTCTGCTGCTGCTGGTGGTGGTAACGACCGTCTCGCTCGTTCAGGATTCCGACAACGCTGCCCGCCACCCTCACGGTCGGGGGGCATCAGCCCCTGAACAACTTCGGAGACCTCTTGCGGGAAGAGATCTCCAGAGCTGGGTACACGGAGATGCTGACGCACGGCCTTTGCTCAAGGGCGGAGAACTTCAAGGTGAGGCCATTTGTTTTCGACGTTACCTCTTGAAAGGACCACAAACAGGGCGGGGAAGTTCAACGTGATGCCATTTTGTGTTCGGCATGACCTCTTGAAAGGACCACAAATAGGGCGGATGTGACGGCATCTGTATTCGAAATGTGGGTGTGTTGAGCGTGTAGCGATAGTGAGTGGGTGTTCTTTTTCGTCCATGTTTTAATCTGGGCTCCGTGATGCTCGATGGTCCTGCGTGCGTAACACGTTCAACGCTGTCTGAGCTTCCAAGTAAACGCTGGTTGCTGAGTGCCCCCCCCCCCCCCCCGTTTTCGTTCGGCAGATGCTTCGGCGCCAAGAGGAGCCGTGCGTTTCCCTGTCCAACCCCAAGCACGTGGAGTACGAGGTTGTTAGGACCAGCCTGCTCCCCGGAGCTTTGAAAACGGCGCAGTTCAACCGCGCGATGCCGGTGTGTTGTTTGCTCTGCCTGCTGCTGCTGCTGCTGCTGCTGCTGTTGGTGTTGGCGTTGGCGTTGTCACTGGTGCTGTTGTGTCGCGTGCTGCGCGGTGGCGGTACTGGTCGTCCATGTCGTGTTTTTTTCGACGTTGGCGCTACCGGCCCTTCTATGTTTGGCCGATGGTGGCGGCGGAATTGGTTTCGGCGCTACCGTGGTGTCCCTAATGATACCCCACCCGACTTGCCCATATTGCATGACTCTTCCTTGTAGGCATTGCATCACTCCCCCCCCCTCTCTCGATTTTATGGAATCCCGTTTTGAGCACCGCATCCATTGTTTGAATCCGTGTGCCCTCTTGATCTACGCAATATAGTCCAGGCGTGCCTGTCTATGACGTCACTCGTCTGTTTCGCCTACCCCGGTGCTTGCTCCTAACCCCGAAGGTGAAGGACGGCGTGCGCCTCTTCGAGATCTCGGACGTGGTCGTACGCGACGATTCCTGCGACACCGGGGCCAGAAACTGCCGCCGTCTGGTGGCCACCTACATGGGACCCACCGCGGGGTTCGAGATCATCCACGGTCTCGTCGACAGAATTATGTCGCTCGTTCAGGTGGGACGGGAATGGGACGGGGCTGGATGCACGTGAAACGGGGGGGATAAGCAAAGAGGTACGGGTTGTTTGATATTTGATGAGTATGTATATCGGACTGGGGTCGTTTTGAGACCATTCGTGGTCACCGCCACCTTTCTCTTCCTGCGCATGGTATGTGGTAAGGAGAAATTAACACCGGAATACTACAGCACGCACTCAGGGAAGAGCGTGTTGCAGGTAGCATAGTATGGACACCGTAAGACCGCACGTATGAAAGAACGGATTCCATCGTACGTATCATGTATGGACGAGAGCATGCGACGCATGTTATATTTTGGTAACGTCAGGTAACGTGACCTAGTGCCGCATGATGCGCGTTACTGTTGTTAAAACGTCGAACACTGTTCTTGGTCTCTCGTTGCAGGTGGCGCCTTCGGAGGAATACTCCGGGAACGATCCGCGTGCACGAGTGGGGGGTCCGTGGAGGGAGAACATGCGCTACCGCATCGAGCCGGTTGACCGCCCCACCTTCTTCCCGGGACGGTACGATGCATGCATACATGCCTCTTTTACATCGCTGAAACCGTTTCTGAGTTGTTCTGCGGGAAAGCGCACGCGGTGCATACCATGGTTGGCTGCTGTTTTCCGCGAACGACGTGTTGTCTTTCTCAATAGATAAACCTGTTGTAGGTCGTAGATGGTGTGTGTGGTTGCATGGCGCATGACATGTGTCCGCAGCAACAGCGAGCGTCGTACCCCAATTCTCCCAAGAAGTTTCGCGGGCCACAGGTTGGATTGTCGAGACTTCCTCGCGCAAGGGAAAAACAGTGCAGCAGCAGTCAGTGACTGGCTCGCATCCTCCTCCGTTTTATCTTTGAATCGCTGGTTTTGACCCCACAAGTCACCCGAAATGGGCACTAGAATTGTGACTATATTCAGGTAGTCGACATGTTGTTTTCCTTCCGCGGAAGAAACCATGGTGGTGACCACCTCGCTTGGAGGTGGAAACTGTGCTTCTGTGACCGCGACGTTTCGCTCCTGTATTCATCAACCACTACTCGCGTGCAGGTGCGCGGACGTTTTGCTGATGGTGAAGGACACGGAGGAGGGGGGCTCCGCCGGTTGGAGGGAAATCAGACTGGGGTCCTTCGGGATGCTACACCCGGAGGTGCTCAAGGCCTACGACTTGCGGGATCCCAGCTCCGCCGTAGAGATTGATCTGGAGCCACTCATGTAACGGTTTGGCGATGGTGTGGGAGGGCATGCTCTTTGTCTAGGAGTAGGTGGTCTTCTTCTTGCCGGGTCTACTGCTGCTGCTGCTTCGCGTTGATGTGGCGTGTGTTTCGTGATGGCCTTCTTCACTTAAAACCCATCGATTCGTTTCTGGGGGCAGTCGCTTTTCATGGCAAGTGTTACAATAGTTGTTCACCGAAGCCCTGCTTCGATTTCAGGTATAAGGCATCGAATTACTCTCGTGGTCCACCTGTCCATCGTGCAGAGCTTCGTACGTGGGGAAAGCTTTGGCGGTCAACTGGCGTTTGTGTATCGAGTTGCAATTGCTGTGGTTAAAAGATTTTGCAATCGATATCAGAGTCTATTCCATCACCGTTGCACGACTCGTGTGTTTTTTGTTCACTTGGTGTGATCGGTGGGGTCCGCTCGAACGGAACAGTATGGCTTACATTGGTTTTACAGCCTTCTGAGATTCAGCACGGCCGTTTACGCCGCTCCTGCCTTAGATACCGGTAGTCTCTCTGGTCCACTGCGGCCGGCAGTACATTTCCCCGCCTGTCGATATTAGCCCCTAGACAGGTAGAAATCCACCACATCAAGGTATACCTCTTTCGACCCCCGGGGTGAAATGGGCAGGCACTTTTCTCTCACCGAGAGAGATTGGTCTCCATGATGGGCTCGCATCGATATAGACACAGGAAACATCGAGGTGCTCCACGTTTACTCAATTTTGGTCTCTTTTTGGGCCTGGACGCACGAAATGCTTTATCCAGGCGATCTCGTGGGTATTAAGCCACGGGACCGATTCTATCTACACTATTGTAGGTCCCTCGCTATAACACTAATAGTGCTGTGAGCTCCCTCTCTGCTCGCCAAACCCCGGGGGAACACTTTCTCCAATCAAGACTCTTTTTATCACATTAAGACTCATGTTACAATGACAAGATCTAATGCAAGACTCGGGTACAATGATGGGACGTGTCTCATCAAAACTTTAGGTGGCGTTCGAACTCACTTTGCATCCAGTCAACCACGGTATTGCTTCAGATCCGACGTGCAGTCTTCATGCGTCCCCGTTACGTGCTGTACCGGATTATTCTCCATCAACTACCCTTTTCGGTCACTTCAATGTGTCCTCTTCTGGCCTCTAAAGGTAACTCGTCCTTAAACGACTCTTTTTTTTTGTTCGATGTTTTTAGCGGCGCATTCACGGCCAAGAACGCCAATGATTCTTAGCTCCACACACTTGTCCTCAACTCGCGGCGACGTACTTCTCCGCTCAACACTCACTGACACGACCTTTTCCCCCTTAACATCAATTTCCTCTTGGAATCCCTATCGACATGGATGGCACACGCCACCGCTTCACTTCGCGAGATCAGTCGGCGTTGTTACTGCGCCACGCGTCCAACCACTGCACCACCCTCGACACGTTGGACTCCAGCTCCTCGATGGTATTGCTCGGCACCTCGTGCACCGCCTCTTCCGGGTACCCCTCCTTCGCTTCCTCCAGCACCACCTGCATGATTTCGCACTCCACATTCTCGCCGACCTTTTTCTCGCTGTACCCCCTGCAACACATTTTTTTTTTTTGTGCGAGAGCGAGCGACGAAGTAGAAGCGGTTTCGGGAACCGTGATCAGGTTGACTTGAACGCGACTGTTCTTTGTTCCCACAGTTACGAGCATTCCCTCAGGGTGAGGTAGCCACAAATTTTATTTGGCAGCAGCAGGGAGGCGCTCGCAACATTGTCGGTAGGAATTCTCGACATGAGCCTAGCGTGCAGATTGTGGGTGCGCGCGATAGACAAGCATCATCCTCAAGAACAATTCGCGAAAGCATCATCTGTAGCCTAGAACCTGAAAGTGGTAGCGTGTTGGGAGCCAGCACCACGCACCACACGATGGTAGAGTCAGCACGTTCTCTAAAGCGAACAACACCAAAAGGACTAACGAAAAACAACCCTGATACTTGCGAGAGGTGAGGAGTGCGTCTACGACATCCGATGTGAGAGTGTACAGGCCGTACGGGCGAACGCATCCAAGCTTCCGCTTCCTCAAGAAGTGACAATCAATGCCGTAAGTGAAAGGGCAGCTCAGTTAAGCCGAATGACCCGCGTACCTGGCCTTTAACCTGTCGAAGAGAGTGCTCGTTTCCGCCCGCAATACCAGGACTAAATCGAACCTGTCATTGGAACGAGTTTCGCGAGGGCATAAGATGAGTCAACTATGCCTTTTGTTTGTTGACAAGTCGAGTCTTCAGACTCACTAGCGTGAAGGCATCACCACCTGCGAAACAAGCGCATCGATGCCCTAGGCTCTTAATACCAATACCTCCCCGTGGGAAGGTGCGCATCATACGTACCAGCCATTAGGGACACGACACACTGGAAATGATCGGTACTTGACGGGGTCTGGATTCCGAGCGCCGACGCCAACCGTACCGTAACCCCAACACGAGGATATATGCATCTCTGGGAAACCAGATGGGGCTATTAGAACAGCGCTAGTTACTTAGCAGTATACATCGGAATGAATGCGCGTTGTTCGGGCGTTGACAAGGCAAGTCTCTGACAGAATAAAACCACTCTGTTGGGAAATATAGGGACTTTTGGTACAAATACATGAGAGTTCGAATGGTCCGTAAATTTCCGAACAGAGCCCCAGAGAGGAGTCGAGTTGGAAGAAACGTTCTGTGCCTTTTTGGTTCCAAGGGAGCGGTGGCAAACATCCGTCGTCCTTTGCATACCGTACCAGTGTTCCGGGAAGAAATCGCACGAGTGGAAGTCGATCACGTTGCCGCCTTCCTCCATCTGTGTCTCCATCGCGTCGCAAAGCTGCCGAAAGTTCACGAGAAGAGGCGTGGACACCACGCGGGGGAAAAGTGCCACTTACTCCCAAGACGGCTGTACGCACATGACAAGTCACCGTCATTTTGTCTGCTCCTCAGATACTCTACACGCCATAGTAAAAGTTGTGGTGCATTCATCAAGGGTGTGGAAAGGTGACCTTTGGCAAATATTCTGTGCGTGTTTGTCATCTACATAGGCTTGCGCTTGGTAGTCTACAAACCTTGCGGTGCATCATATGCTATGACGGATCAGCCACGGTGAAAAGCAGAGAAGATACAAGGATCATTTTCTTGTTCGCATGCCCTATATTATTTCCTCCTGCGGTGCTTGCTCCGTTTTATCGCGAGAAGGTTTCAGCCGCCCGTTTCCAGCCTCGACTGCACAACGGAAGTACTGAATCAGTCTACTACCTACCTTGTCTTCGTCGAGGATGAAGGTGTCGAATGACTCATCCCGTCCCTCGTGGCATTGCTTCAATCGAACCTGCCGTGGCACACAGACCGCGCGGATAGCTTAGACATATATGGCCGTGAGGCGTTCAATGGACAGAGGTAAAAACATCGGGGTGACACCACACCACGGCGCAAATCAGACATTGCGCAGGCCGGACGCAAGTGCAAGTGCAGCCACATATTGGGACAAAATGGAGATGCCATCTGAGGAAGCGGTGTTAAACCTTGGGATTGGGCCTTGGCTCAGGGCTGATTGGAATAGTGAATGCCGGGACGTCGTCCTGGTTGAATACAGCAGTGTAGAACTACCCTGGAGGAAAATGAAGCAGGCTCACTGTCGGAGCACACAAGAGCTACAGCAGTATGAACACACGATTGCAACCACGACAACATTCTAGACTCCAGCGGCCTTGGGCGATCTACTCTGAATTGGTATGTGGTAAGGCTCAACCCGGTTTCCCCGGTGGTCTAGTGGTATCCTCGTAATCCGCTAGTTGCAGAGGTCGTGAGGCTGAATCTCCATGGGGTGAAAAATATACGAAATGTGCGGGTGAAAGCGGAATACAGCTGACAAGCTCTCGTGAGTACCAAACTTCGACGTCAGCACCGTTGACGAGGGAGAGGGACGGCTGGACCCTTCTCGCGATAAAAATAAAAATTCAGCACGCACCGCAGGAGAAGGGTGGGGCATGAAAAGAAATAAAAGAAGAAAAAAGCCCTCGTGTTTACCCCCTCCTGTGTGACCCTGGATGGTTGAAGTTGTACGAAAAAATACACTGAAAAGTGTAGTACACTACATACGCTGAAAAGTGAATTCGTCTCACCACGAAAAGTGGGGGGACTGTCACCATAATAAAAAGGACGAAAACAACAACAACAACAACAACAACAACAACAAGGCTTCAACTCATGGGATCTCAAAGGGGTACCGCGGTGCCCCAGGGTGCGCCTGGCACCAAAGCTAGGCGTAAGATGTAGAAGTACAGCAGTAGTTATGCCCGTCCTACATACCGCATGATGCGCCCTTTTCGTGGGTGACCCACACGCGTCTCACCAGATCGCCCACGTTGATATGTCTCAGCCCGGTCCGCTCCTGTCATATTGGCACAAGCGTCCCGCAGCAACGAGCAAAACGAAAGCGTCAAAGAAAGCTTGCTGGTGAGAGTTGGGCCATAACCATTGAACGTCTTCTCTATAACCACGCGGGTTCGCCGTCTTCGATACAGTCGCTCACGGGGAGAGAGCTGATGCAGCGGTACCGACGCAGTGCGTGTGAGCATACTCCGTGGGGGCGGTGGACCTGGGGTGGGAAAGACAAACATGTCGGGGAGACTCTCCCGGTTGCATGGTGTGCCGAAGTATTCAGACACCCGCCGACATTGCTACTGACCTACGTAGGGCAGCTCCAGTTTCCGCGTGTGGCAGCAGCACTATGCTTGAAGATAGACCAACAACGCTCCTTGTTTCTTGCAGGTGACAGGATGGAAAATGAGAAGAGCCTACAAACGTTGTTACCCTGCCACTTCTGATACCTTCAATGCTTCAATGCCGAAGCGACCAGCAGACATCCACAACAAGAGGAACATACATGTGCTGCCACACGCAGCACTATAGCCTTCCGTGCTTCCGTGTGCATGCGGGGTTGATGGGAGCTCAGACTCAACGTCTACAACTAGTCTACACTCGACTCACGGCAATCTGCTGCGAAGTGCAGGTCTTGCCCGTCCCAGGCGTCCCCGTGATGAGCACGTTAGGCCCCAGAGGTCCTCCCATGCTGTGCCTGGCGCCCGGCTTAACAACGCCAGTCTTCAGGTTCTTGTGCGTCTCTCTTTCTCGCCAAGGCCTCCGCCCTGTTGCTTTGAGTACGGCTAGCCACGTAGCGCAGTTGTGCAAGCAACCGAGGATAGCCACGAACGCGGCGCAATTGCTGAGAAAAGAGTTCGTTCAGATATCGTTGGCATGCTTTCCACGGGGGTGTCAATATTCACACTGGCTCTATTTTTTGGCCATCCACACGGCAGTCCAGCTCACAGCTCACGCCGCTCATACAGCTATTGCTGTTGTGCCCATAGCCCCTAGCGCTGCGGTGCATCTGGGAGAGCAATGACACGTGAAACGTGCTACCATGAAGGTTGCTCTAAGGTGCGAAAACTCGTCCAATTGTCTGTAGTCTAGACTACAGCAGCAGCAGCGGCAACTTGAAGGCGTACTTGTGAACCCCGTGTTCCATGTTGATATTTTGGATGCGGGGCCGCACCATGAAGGAGGGGGAAGTCCCCTCGACTGTGTCATCCACCTCCAGCATTATACAACTACCACATCCCGTTCGCAGGTTTCGTTGCCCGGGGCTCAACGCAGGTTAAACATAGAAAACGCTGCAAATAGACTAGCGCAGGCCCAGTTGAAGGTTTGTTTGTGTCGCGCACTACTGGCATCATACAAGTCGCTCCCTCAAAACCTGATTGGATCAACACTAAATAGAATATTCGGGGCGTCTATGTAGTGCGTTGTGGTACAATGCGTAAGGGAGATCATCAACTGGATGGGTTACGGAGACAAAGTGTTAAAACTAACGAACAACGACGACCGAGCAGAACCAAGATGCTAACGAGAGACTGGACTCAGCTCCAAAATCCAGCAACCACACCCGCTCTATCTCTCTCTTCATCGTGCCTCAATGGCAGACAAAACTAGTGTATGCGTGGTCTTACTAGAGTTCTCTAGTCCTACCGACTACCCTCTAATAATCTATATGTCGTCCCCCGGTGTAGCCTTTATACACTCCGCTGGCGTCTCCGCTTTGTTTGATGGATTGTGAACAGGCGCCGTCTTTCGGATTCCCAAATGAAGAGCGGGTGTCGTGCTCGGCGCACAAACGGCCTGGCCAGGAGTATCTGGCAGGGAAGGCGGAGCACCATCGTGGCGGAGCGGGGGATGCCCTGACGCTGGTATTTCCAAGCTCTATGTCACAACAATGAGCACGCTCTCTTTGACATGCACGGAGTAAAACGTGCGAGCGAGTAAAGAAACCCACGGCTCGGTTCGTTGTTGGCGGGTTGCTACGTTTGTCAAGCGTAAGGACTCTCTTAGTGCACCAAGCAGCACCAGCTATTATGTTTGTCATGATGCACACTATACTGGATCTGCCTGGGCTTATGAACTGCTGTCGCGTGGGAATACTTCGAAATATCAGGGAATGATGCATGCCGTGCCGCGTAGTGATACCTGTCTTCGTTCTTCATTGCCTATCTAATCTTCACTGCTCCTCTCGGACATGCGCTGCTTGAACACGTCCAACGTATCCGTGTCGCACGCCTTCGCGATATAGAACGGTGACGTGTAGTGTCGAGAGTGAGTGTTGCTGCTTAAGACTTTCCTTCCTTACGAATCCCTGCGAAACCTGTTGACTTTTCATTCCACAGGCGATGGGGCACGTTCCAAAAGGTTTGGACTACCGACACACTGCCGACCGGAAGCACGACCCCCATCACACGGCGAGGGCCGCTGGAGACGACGGAAAGCATTGCCAAGAAACAGGCTGCATGAGGGCACCAAGCTATGGGTGGGAAGGCGCAGCCGTCATGTGTGCTCTGGTGTGTTCGTGTGTGGAACTTCCATTGATTTTGCACCCGAATGTACGCTGGTGGTAGGCCAGGGGAGCAAGCGTGTGCTCTCTTGTAAACACGCCGAATAGGGACTCGGCCGACATGAGATTGCCGGGAAATCAAACAACTGAAGAAGGTGGCGTGTCGTCAGCACCAAGCGGTGTGATGGATTGCTGTTGTTCGAAAGGTACGCACGGCGGGTGTTCCAATATTGAGTGAGCGAGGTCGAGGGAAACCGATGATAGGTGTGTACAGTAGCGTTTGCATCGGAGTTGATTCGCACCAACAGAGAAGAGAAGGCCCGGATCAAAGCTTCACCCTCTGAAGTCTTCTACCCCATGGTGGGTACACTTTTATTGACAATGCAGGGCAGCGCACACGTTTGTACCGACCTCAAGGACACAAACAAGCGGAAGAGACTCAAGCTCGGGGAAGCATTCAAACGGAGTACGGGTAGTCGATCAAACGACAAGTTTGCCGCAACCTTCCGGTTTGTTGGTATAGCCCTGGCAACAGCCACAACGTCAATAGCACTACCATTCACTTGTGTCACTTCCCCTGTCGGCTATTTTTTATCTGCGAAATAGATTACATGAAGTAATCCCCGCGCTCTTCTGCTTCGGCTGGTTGCTGTTGTTCTGTACTCGTTCAGCACAAGAAGCCGGCCATGGTGTACCTCCGGCACCCGTCTGACTCGTCGTCTTCTGGAAAGGATTCTGCCAATGTCAAGCCGACGGCCGACAAGGGGCATGTTCCCAAGGGGTTGGAGTACATCCCATCAGGTTAAGCACAACGCTGTTATCGAACCACCCGACCACAAGCCAGAGCTAGGTAGCAAGAAGCACAGGGCCTGATTGCCCCGCTTGAATCTAGCCCATTGTGTAATGATTCTACGTAATCTGCCTGTCACCTAAGATGTGTGTAATGAGCTCCTTGAGTCAATCGACCATGTCCTCCACGTACCCAATATTTGCGTTCTCTACCAAACTTCATTTCGTGATTCTTGTGACTACAGTACCTCTTCTTTGGCCAGCAACCTGTAGGGATAAGTCATATTATTTCACCTTTTACTTTCTTTGACGTTTCCCCGCACTAAACTTGACTGTCCGTGTCCCCCCCACTCACCACAACAGTCACCATGGATAGCGATCGTGTGGTGCACTCCGGCAACCCCCATTGCGCCGTCAAGGGCTGCACTAAGGTATTTCCGCGGCCCAGCTTGCTTGTCGTTTTGAGACTTTCCCTCACATCATGTTCCTTTCACTCTCTGGTGACACGTCGCCTAGCAGCCGCAAAGATGCCCTCGAGACCATCCAATGTTCCGAGACTTGAGACTGACAAAACACGCCAATATATGAGGAAACTCCCACCTTGATTATTTGCCAACGGTCCCCGCAAGGGGAGGTGTCAACCTCTGCTTTGGGTTCCTTCAAGGTCCGACACCTGTAAGGGACACGAACGACACTGGTAGTGGAAACTACCAAAGATGAAGCAGTGCATTCGATGAAGCTAAACTTTGTTAGGCTTCCTATGGCGTTTCTTTTCAATTGCTAAAAGGAACTAGGCAGCTGGTTCTTCGGCCGTTGTCGTAAAGTTTTAGTTGTTTAGTTTGGAATGCGGCACGAACACGGAGTGACCGTTTCCGCCGCTCTCTTTATGTTGTTAGTACGATGATAGTGGAATGACAAGAGGAAGCGATAGCCCGATGTGACTGCGCATGGTAAGGAGGCGGGATGCTTTCTAGGGGGATAAAGTCCTGGCATGCGTTTCAATTGTTTTTCTGTCGCAGTACGGTGTGTTTTGGGGGGGAACTGGGCCTTACTGTATGATGTAGGAAAAAAGGTGGAATCCTGATATTGCATCCATATCATTGAAAGAGCAACCGTCAAGAAGACTGAACCAGTCACTGCTGTTCACCCTCGACATCGACAGAGCTAGTTCATTTCGAACACTGCCACCTTCTTTCGTCGCCGAAAGGCTCTGTTTTCGTTCGCGAACCTGGTAGATCTCTCTCTCCTACACAAAACGCGTTATGCATGTTGCTCTCTGTCTCACACAAAAGCGCTCTCGAGCTTGCCCAATGTCATGTAATAACAAATCTTCTTCCCATCTTTCTTCCTTCTGCTCCACCCACGGCAGGCCCCCTCGTACGGTACGGAAGGCGAAGGAGGGGTGTACTGCTTTTCGCACAAGAGACCCGGACAGGTGATCTATCTTGATGATGATGGTTCCGACAACATACCCTACTGTGCCCATCTTGACGAGCAGGAATTGGCCTCGACAGACGATAGGGAGATTGAGTCCTTTTGTAATGGTCATGTCCACACCCATGCTAGTAAATTGTGGTCCTCTGTAGGGATGAATTCCGACCCATCAGCACTAACTAATCCTCAACCTTCACCGTAATCCAAGTCATAAGCAGGCAGAGGCAGCAGGCTATGTTCAAAGCGAACAGGATACCCACGATGCAGGTACACCAGCCGGCACTATTCAGAGAAGAACATTTGAGGGCGGTGGTTTGACAGAAGATGGAATGAGGTATGCCGCACAAATCGGTACAACCCTCCCCACCCAAAGGCTCTCTTGGTGTCGAGAAGAGAATATTCCAGTCAGGTGATTTGCTTGTACAACTATCCATCCACCCATTCACCCACCACATAACGCCTCGTGGCTATTCTTGCGCGGTTGGCTATTGGCTCCCCTGCCATAGGTGTTCCTGAAACGAGGTACTAAACCTGCTGGCACTGCTGCTGCTGCTGCTGCTGCTACAACTGTGCCGTCTGAGTCCAAGCGCAACAGGGTCACCACCGCCGCAGAATCTGACCATCTCAAGGTACTTTCTTGTCCGTCGAATACACGCATGCATGACGCCTTTCAAACGCAGTTGACATGTATATCCTTGAGTCCTTACCACATTATCTTTGATCCGAGAAGGGAAAATAATGATGGTTGTTCATTGTAACGGCCTGGTGTGCACATTCCAAAACAACCGTCCACTGCAGATTTGATTAGTGATGCGAGACGGTGAAGTACCAGGCTATTTTCTCCTGGATAGGTTGACGACGACGACGACGACAACATCAACAACAGTTGCAACAATTATTCATCAGGCGCATCGCTCCCAATACCCTTCCGGTTTCTGAAAGCTGCGAAAGCTTGTCTCGGGACACACGCACACGTTTTTTTTCTCCCCGTTCTGCTCGCGTTCGTTGTCGGCTCTCGTGCTCGTGTGCGTGTCTGCATAAAGCGTCTCAACAGCTCGATTCGTAAACCTTACGCCTGTAGCGCTGTGTCTTCCCCGATAGAGTGCACTGTCTCCATATCCAGACGATCGACGACACATTATGTTGCTCGATGAATTAGTAAGCCATATGGGGCGATATGCCACGAATTCTCGACCCGTTGCGCGATCGATATCTGGAACTCGTGGGGATTTGTGCGGCGTTCCTTGATGCCAACTTCCTTACGCGCCCGCCTATGCATCCCCCCCCCCCCCCCCCCCCCCCCCCCCCCCCCCCCCCCCCCCCCCCCCCCCCCCCCCCCCCCCCCCCCCCCCCCCCCCCCCCCCCCCCCC